TTTGACGTTCGTCATTTATGACCGGCTGATTTGGGTAAGGAACTTAACAACAGATTCATCTTGCAACAGCTATTTAAACAGAATCCAAAGAAATATGTAGATGAATGTTGAGGATAGGACAGGTTGTGCTGAGATTTGATAAAATGCCAAGGCAGAATTTGGTATAATAAAAATCAAGTAAACAAAATTTGGGGAAAAGATAACCCCAAAAGAGCATACAAACTTCTTGCTTCATTAAACATCACAAATAACTTGGATTCATTTCAGGACTAGAACTCAGCCCCCAATCTCAGAGATAGATCCTTACCACCTGTTTATTGACAAACTATAACAAAATACTCAAGGAAGATGAAAATTGCTCATAAAACCCAAATCAGAATTTCAGAAAACATGAAGAAAACTCCACATGCTAAACACAGAACAATCAACGAACCCACAAGGAAAAACAGAACAAGAAAAGGGGAAAGAGAGAGGGAACCTCATTACAAAACTAACCTGGCACTAGGAGCCCTCCTGGGAACCTCCGGCTCAAACTCAACCGGCAAACCGAGAAACCCATTGAACCGATCAAACGTCACATGGGCAACATGCCTAACATTGGTGGGCACCCCAATCTCCATAGAGCAAAACTCTTTACCAGCAGAAACACTACACCCAATTAAAGATTTCCTAACGGCGGCGACCAACAGTGTCAAAAGCGACAGCTGATCCCCTTCCCTGTCCCTCTCCTTCCTCTCCCCACGTCCACCCTCTGAGTCAATTTCTTGCAATCTGTCCTCCCCATTGGCTAAACCACTGTTAATAAGGGCATGCGGGTGTGACCCATCATTGTGGGAACATGGGGAGGACATGGAGCTTGAAGGTGAAGAGAAGTAAGAAGGAGATGATTGGAGGACCTCAGTCATTTTCTACTATTTTGGGGCAGAAATTTGAGTCAAGAAACAACCTTTTTTCCACAAGGGTTGTATTTTTGTGGGGAAATTGACCCTTTTGAGGAATTCGTGGGTCGAAAAGGAAATTAAGACCCAATGATGAACAACGTTGCGATGTGGAGTTGGATTGAAGGAAGGGGTTTGGAGGGTAGGAAATAGCTATCAATGCCTTTTGTTTCTCTAAATTTTCCTTGCTGTCCCTAATAGGGGTGTGAATGGAAGAAGAAAGTGCAAAGATTTTGGTATGGTTTTCGTGGGAGAGATGGTGGAGGTGGGTAGGGAAGATGAGAGGCTCTGAGAAGGAAGGAAGAAAGAAAAGAGGAAATGCCAACGCATTCTTCAAACCCACTCCATGTTGGTGTTGTTACTGTTAGCAGCGGACGCTGTTACTTCTCTACAGTGATTTTGCCTGCTGTTCTCAAACAGCCAATCAAGTTTTGCCATCTCAGCATTCTGTGAGAAACTCTTTTTTTTTTTTCCTTCTTTTTCTTTTTCTTTTTTTTTTTTAATCTTTTTCACAATCTCTTGATGATTTTTTTGGTACCATCCCGATCCATGGAAATTATATAAGATTTATATTAATTCAAAATTTAAGCACCTTAAATTTTATAAAAGAGGAGTTCTTATAATATTTATTTTTTTATTTATATAATTTAAATTTAAAATTTTATTTATAAAAAATTTAATTTTTTTCATTCAAACTGAGGTATTACTGATACAATTTTTTAAGGGGCATTGATACATGTTAGTATTCACACAATTTCGGATTTTTTTTTCCTCAATTTAGAAGGTGCACCATTTATATCAATATGATAAATTTAAAGAAATTTTTTTTGTATTGGTCTAATGCTTAAACGTCTGTACTTAAATTATAAAATTATATTTATTTATTAGTAGATCAAATATTGTATTAAAATTATATTATTTTCAATATTCTCTTAACAAAATAAATCATAAATGACTATAAAAAGAAATCCATAAGTAACCATAGAAATGCAAATCCTAATTCAGTTTAACTTTATCAGTTATGTTCAATTAGTTAATCGAATTAGCTGCAATAACTTAATTTTTAGTTAAATTGGATCACTTGTAGCAGATTTTGGTTATTCAATTAAAAACAGTTTTTTGATAAATAAAATAATTTATTTAGAAGACAGGTAATATATCATTATAAAGTAAAGAGGGTATCCTGAGCCAACTGGTTTCTGACAGATAAAAGAGACATTACTTCCTGATTTTAGGGTCAGTTTTAATTAAATAAATTCCCTTTTTTTTTTTAATTGACAAATTTTAATTAAATAAATTCATTGAAAATATTCTTATATCGTGGCCATTTCAGCATTTGGATCCCCAAGTCCCACAATTCCGAAATTGTGAATCGTCCTCTGTTTCCATTACTTGTACTTTTTATTTGTAGTATTCAGAGTTTCAATTTGAGATTGCATAATCAGAATTATTAGATGATAAATTTTCTTCTTTTTTTTTTTAATTTTTTAGTATTTAAAAGTTTTATTAGATTTTAATTAATTCAAAATCAAGTCGCATTAGATTTTATAAAAAGATAATTATCTTAATATTTATTTTTTATTTATAAAATTTAAATTTGAAACTTTATGTAAAAAAATTAATTTTTTTTTCACTCGAATCAATAAATTATTAGTATAATAAAAATTTATTATTAATATAAATATTTGGACTTTGTCTTTATTAATTAGGTATGTGGTAGTAGATGCCTTACAAAATGTCTTATAAGTATAGAATAAAACTCTACATTAATAGATATAATATGATCTGTTGAAATTGTTTTAATTCAAATTATATTAAAGGGATTAATTGAGGATGAAATCTGGAAGCAACCATCTCCTTTCCTATTTTCTGTCAAACTCGGGTGCCACCATTATGAAGAAGAATTGTAATATGGAATGGCACTAAAAGACCAGCTGTATATGATGTTCAGATATTATTATTGCTGCTTAAAGTAGAGGAGTAATTAATTTCTGCTTTTAATGACTCAGAGTAGTGTGGCTGAAGTTCTGATTTCTTCTCTTGGACAATTATGACTCCATAAAAGTGCAACAAACTTCATTTATTTTGCATGCTAAACTTAAGTAAGGCTTAAAAAAAAAAATGTTTTATATTAAAATCTTA